GTTGGGCTCACCGAGAATTCCCTGCGTCATGTGATGGCGGGAGCGGCAGCATCGCCCGCACCGACAGCCCCGGGTGCTGGCCTAGGACGGGGTCCTGGGCCCGGCCCTGTCTCAGGGTCCCAGTAGCCCCTTCCCGCTCCCCTTGGAGACCTCCCCCCCACCAGCAGAGGAGTCTGGCATCCGCCGGGCCCAGATGTGGGGTCTGCCAACACACCCCCAACTCCTTGCCTGCACCCGCCCCTCGAGGCAGCTTTCTCCAGCTCCTGCAGCCCCTTGGGATGCTCCTCTGGGGGTCCCACTACCCTTCGGAAAACCCCAGCGTGGGTGGATGCTGGAGCCGAGGAAAGGGACCCCCATGTTGCCAGCCCACGTGCACCAGGCCCTCACCCAGTCCTGCCCACCATCCTCCCTAGAGTCCCCCATGTTTCCAGCCAGCTTCTGGAGTCCATACAATCCACCGGGATTTTCTCGTGGGTTTTTCTGGTGTTTTTCTCCTTTTAGTAAGATCGTTTGCTGTTCGACATTTTCTGCTGCCTGCAGGTCAATCCGGGCTTACACAGAGCAGGAAATAAAACATTTGAAGAGCAGCAGCTGCGAGGGGTCAGCTTCTCCTCCTGTTTAACCTTAATCCAGGAACAGGCCCAGCCCCTTTCCTGCCCACCACAGCCCTGTCCTCTTGGTCCCGTCAACACTGGAAAAAGCAGGACACCAGCCCATGGGACGGGCCCATCCTCACCCCAGAGTGCACAGACACAGGTTTTCCAGGATGATTAAAGTGACTTCTCTGAGCAGAAAGCAAGCCAAACCCAGACACTTCCCCAGCCCCTTTTCCTTTGCTCAGGTAGTGTTTGTCCAGAGAGACATCAGCTCTGGACATCCTGCAGAGTTAAAATTTTCTGTTAAATGCACCCCTTAAATTACCCGAGTGTGGCACCTCCACAGCCTGCAGCCAAGGGCAACAGCATCTAAGGACTCATGTCTGCAGATTGCCCAGAGAGGGGACAGCACGGGGCTCTGCATTTGCAACAAGAGGGGGAAAATCCAACAGAAAGCATATTATCCCAAAATTTATACACTGAGCCACAGCCACACACAACAAACACACACATGGGCAAGTCAGGAACCCAAAAGGGTGATGGGGAGGAAAAGCAATGATGGAAATGTCCAAATTTAATCTGACTTTCATGTTTGGTTTATTTTGCAGCCAATTTGCGTTTCTGGGACACTCTGTGATCCAAGACCCCCTCTGGCTGAGACAGGGCTGTGGATGTGGGTTTGAACTTGTCTTTGCTGTGGGTCCCCATCACCATTGGCCTCTCAGATCAGTTCCCAAGGCACCATGGGCAGCACTGGTGGGACACACGGCTGGGGAAGGAGAGCCCATCCTCAGGGATGGCAGCTTGCCTCCAGGCCCTGGTAGAAAAGAACAATAATACTAACCTCAAAAAAACCACTGAAACAGAGCATGACTGTAAAAAGGCCACCCTGCATGTGCCTGCAGGGCTCCAGAGTCCCAGAGCAATGGGCTGTGCTGTCCCCTCAAGCTGTGAGCAGCATCTTCCAGCTATGAACTAGGTCCTGTTGGCTTCACAGAGCCAGGGACCACCCCCAGTCTCCCCATGGGAATCCCAGCCCATCACTCTGTCTGTCCCCTGGCAGTCCCAGCATTTTCTGAGAGCAACTCCAGACTTAAATGGAAAATCTCCCACTACCCAGCTCAGCCAAGGGGAGCTAGGGAGAGAGACACCCCCTCTCTGGAGCTAGGAAAGGCTGCGGATGCGCCTGCCCTCGCTGCCCGCTCTTGGCCCCTTGAGACCTGTGGGGTTTGTGCTCTGTGGAGATGGGGGGCTGGGGCTGGGGAGCAGAAGAAGAGTGCTCTTCCAGCTCTTATTTTATTTTAAAATGTAACAACAGTGCAATGTCTATTTTTGTGGAGGGAACAGATCATTTTTGGAAGAGGGCCATAAATCTCAAAGGGAGGGGAAATAATTTGGCCAAGGTCATGTTAAGGCAGCAAGAGTATAAAAGGGAAAATATCAATATAACAACCAAAAAAAAGGCAGTTGAGAACTGTACTGACACACCATCTCCACTCCAAGCACCCTCCCCAGCCTGGGAATGCCACGCCCTCTGCCCTGCAGGTCCCTGCCCTGCTGCTTCCCAGCATCACCCTGTGGGGCTGAGGAGGCTGCAATGGGAACAAGGGGCTGCCTGGGTGAGAGGCAGAGGGGGCAGGGGGAGACACAGGCTGAGAGTTGGTTCCATGGATGCAGAGCAGGGTCTACAGGGAGGCAGTAGCTCCAAGAGACGGCCGATGTCTTGCCAGGGACCACTCAGCTCGGCAGTGATGGGAGGAAAGGGAGAAATTGCTGCAGTAGAGGGGGTGCCCAGTGCTGCCTGGGCCTGCAGCCATGGAGGGGCCCAGGGCTGCCAGGTCCAGGAGAGGACCATCCTCCCCCCCATGACATACAACGCATGAGGGTCTGGTTGCCTCGGGCCCCTGGCCAAGTGGGGTGGAGGGTCAGAGATGTGGGGCAGAGCGCCGGAGGGACATGCAGGGGTAAGAAGATGCTGAGGCAGGGAGTGGGCCTTTGGAGTGGGTCATTCCTGCCCAGCAGCCAGCTCTCATACAACAACTCAGGGCCAAAGACAGGCTGGCAGCAGGATGATCCCTGGCAGGGCAGAGAGGGACCTACAACCCCTGGCACCTGCAGGCCCCCTGCTCCTGGTGGCCTCACAGGGAAGCTCCAGTTTGGTGGGAATGTCGCAGTAAGAAGCAGGAGATGAAAGGACCCCAGGAATGCACACCCACTATCAGGCAGGTCAGGCCTTCCCCTGAGCAAGAGCCAGGGCAGTGGGGAAAGGGCAGCAATCCCACGGCAGCCCCATGCTTCTGGAGAGCACATTCCTGGCAGCGCCGTGGCTCCGTGCGGCTCCTGGCAAGCGGCAGAAAACAAACTGCTGCTCATACCCACTGGCTGCTTCTCCAGGCTTGGCTGCCAGCTCCTCCATGCCAGAGCGGGGCTGGCTTTAGCAGCGGGGGCGGCTCCTGGCAGCGCCCACTGCCCCAGCCAGCTCCAGCCCCTCTGCCAAAGCCAAGAGCAGGGGGACCCCACAAGCTCCAGCAGGACAAGGACACCAGCCCGGGACAGGTTCTTGCCTGGCTGCTCTGATGGGAAAGTGGTATCATTTAACAAAACCTCCCGTGAGAGGGCTTGCCCCTCCTCGTTTCCTCCTCCTTTTGCTATTTAATTTCTTCTCTAGGTCCCTGTTCCCTCTTTTCAGTGCGATCAAAGGCACAGCGCACGTTTCACAGGAATCGTCGACTAAAGGGGTGTGGGGGGAATCGGCAGCGATATGATCAGAGGAGAAGGAAGAGGAGGAGAAGGAGCAGAGAAGCTGGAGTGAGCACCTGTGCTCTGCACAAGGACACCGGTGGAACGTGGTGCCGGGGGCTCCTCTGGCGGTGCCCCCCGGCGGCCGGCAGCC